GGATACCGAAACGTCGGCAATGCGAAGTGACATTTAATTAGACTGTTCCAAACTGATGACCGGGTCAAGAACCATAATCACAAACAGCAGCCTTTGAAGTAAGCAGCAGCCAAGAGAGCCAAGGGGGTCTAAATGGGGGAATATTTTAACTAGGTCGCCGGATGTTCTAGCCTCCGGAGACTGTTTTGTTTTTGACATAATCAAGTCAAAACTCAACTCTTGAAATTTAGGCATTCTGAATGAAAGTGTTTAGTTTACTCGTGCCTCGTGCAGCTTTATTTATTAATCCAGCAGTTTAGTTTTAGTCATTAAAAGGGAATCGACATGAGGGTTTGTTTCTGCTAAATATGCAAATCCTTTGCCCAACATGAAGGAAGAAGCTTATGCCAAAGTAATTGGAAATTAAATTGGGGGATTTCCGTGAGTGGAAGTAACATCCACGTGACAATCAAAGCCGTAACCCACTCACGACTCACGTTCTCAATGCTGGCTTTTTGGATCCAGCGGCTGCTCCCCGTTGATGGCCAATAATTGCTTTATCATGGCGAACTGACTCGCGGAGAATATCATTTTACCATTAATAGGGGAGCACGAGGGAATCCTTTTTGGAGTAGAAAACTATACAATACACATAGAAATGCTGTAATGGGCACGGAAAAAGATTGCTTTTTCTGGCGAGTGGGGGGGTCTATGGTTATGGCATATAGTAATTTTAATAGGTCATCATATTAAGGGATTCCCCAGCAATTCGTTCGCTCTCCGGTTATGGTTACAGTTGGTATTCCCGGAGCGGGGCGCACTGTTTGTGTATCGATTGTGTAGCTACGGATGCTGGGTGCGACCACCCACTTGCCACCCAGGTTCCGCCCATATTCCACCCATTTCTCTGCATGGTTATTGGCCATTTGCCCACGCGATGACATGTGCGTTTAATTGCGTTTTACTTATTTGACACAAATTAATATGGCAGTCGCCATTTGCCTCGCCCTTTCCGAGCGCCCGTGTCGAATCCACGTAAGTATGCTATAATTTTCCCCTAAACTCTGTTCTTGGGTAATTAAATATTTCTGCCACACTTGCTGCTCCTCGTTGGGTTAGGTAGCACAGAATAATGCCACTTCGACTGGGGAAAAAGAGAGAACCCTTCAACTGGCAAGTGGCAAATGCTTTAAAGTTTCCTGGGACTGTGTGTGAGTGGCATCCACCGCATCATAAATCAAATTATGACGACCTGACCAGAAGCGGGAATCATAACCGAAATGTTATTAAGTGCTACCCAGGGACCCAACCAAGAGACATAGAACTCGTGCCCAAGAACGTCGAGCTATCCTGAAGCCCTTGACCATTTTCGACTGGAAAGTTTGAGTATTTTACGTTATAAATATTAATATTATTACAGGAGACGACACAAGTTTTGGTATGTCGCTCAGGCCGTGTGTGTACACATAATTATGCAATTTAATGAGTTTTCTCTTTGCTGTCGCAGCCCCCAAGCTACCCAGCCTTCTACCTTCTGCCTTCCCTCAGATTTCCCCATCCAGCCCATAACTCCAGCCCCTTTGCTAGGACAACTGCACATGTGCATAATTAATTTGAAAAATTAATTCTATATACAGGAGATGTCGAAGGTGCTGGGTTATATTTTATCATACGATCACAGGTTAATCTGACATACGAGCATACATTAAATGATGGAAGCGTGTTTATATGCTACCCATTAACAAGAAGGCCGATTCTTCTTTTTGGATCTGCTCATCAAACGTTTTAATAACTAATTAGGTAAATAAACAATATGCCGGGATATTTGCAGAATTGCGAAAACATACAGCCAGCCAAGGTGAGCAGTGTAACGAAAATGTTGTTAGAGGCAGATGACGGCGGCGATGACGATGACGATGATGATGCGGTTGACTTGGCTACAACAACGCCGTCGACGGCAACGACAACTTGACATGGGAGCCAGGTCTGGCGACTAGGAGAGACAGCCGGGGTGAAAGCCTCCGAGTAACAGCCTCCTCCGCCTGCTGTTGATGTTTGTTTGCAGCCCAAACTCCGGGTCCCTGCCACAGTGCCTCCTCTCATTTTCCCTTGACTGCCATAAACGAAACGAAACCTCCTCACGACGGCGATGAAATTGACGTATAAAGTCAACGGCGTCAACAAAGTCGCTCCTCCACTCCGCTTTTCCGTTTCCCAACTCATCGTCACATGGAGCACATGACAGCACTTTTGAGACATGTGTGTGTCACGTTGAGCATTTAGCGTTTATTGTGTCTGTGTCTGTGTATTTGTTTTCTTTTTTCGAGGTTTTTCCAAAATTGAATTGAAAAACTGGCTGAAGGGTGCCTATGTGATCCTAGGTCCTTCGGTATATTAAACTATAACTCGCTGTCCCGCTTGCCAGGATTTTGAATTGAATTGAAATGGCAGAGTATGTAAATGAAATAGAAACCAATGTTTTTATCGGGCTTACTTCAATTTGCCGACTCTGATGAAGTTGGCTGCAGAGAACAAGAGAAGAGAATGGATGAGCAGATTCTTTGTGATTTGTGGCTTTGTTTTTGTCTTGCAGGAAATTAGAAATCTTTTCACCCAGCCAAGCCGCATTCACTATCTCTGACGTCCTCGGTGTGTGCGTGTGGAAAGCCAAAGAAAATTAGAAAGCAAACTGGTTTGGCTGCCATTACAGACATTGGCATTTTTATGTCGAGTTAATTAAAAGAAAACTAGTTATGCTAGTGTACGGCTCCTTCTCCACCAAGAAAAAGTCATTAAAAAGTCGGAATACAGTCGGAGTCGAAGCTAAAGTACGTGTATCTGTCTGTCTGTCACACAGTGCGTATGATTGATAATGAGTTGAGAGACGGAAACGAGTTGGATGCGTCGAAAGAATAGAGTTTTGTTGAGACTTCTTCATTTTACTCAGCCCATCCTTTCTGGCCAACGCAGAGATTACACATTTCCTGCAACGAAACCAATTTTTTTGTATTGCACTTGGCTTGGACACTCGCGGATCCCTCTCTTTATCCTTGCCCCACAAAATCCCCTATTGTGGGCAACCAGAACTGTCATTGTTGTTGCCCTGCCGGCTCCTGCTGCGTAACTCCTCCTCCGCTTCCGACCTTCAACTGCGGTATTCCCCGGTGTGTAACCTTAAGACATCACCGCGGGCGTTCCCCAGAGTCGAGCAATAGATATTACCATGGGTTTGTTCGGTGGCTGGGAAGGAGTGGGAGGGTAACTGACTGGTTTCCAATGGAGGCTATTGTCATACCTATGGTGCAATTTACATACTGCCAGCTCAGCTGGGCAGGACGAAGCTGGAAATGTAATTTCTAATTTGCTTTCATCTTTAATGCGGACAGATGTCTGGTAAAAGGATTCCTGGAATATAAGCCCAGAAAATATACATGCAAGCGTCTCTTAATGAACCACAATAGTTGCTTTCTAAGGAAATATATTATGAATTAGATCATTTTTAAAAAGTGTGTGTTTCTAGTTCAGGATCTATAGTTCAGGAGATCCCGACATGCATACGAATAGACAGAGGTACATATCTAAATATTATACATTTTACAATACGGCTCTTTACAATACAAAAACAATATGAAAGGAGGGTGATAGGAACTCAATGACTTTAGTAAATCGACATATCAGGCGGAAAGTTATTCTGACATATTTCAGTTGGGGGATGTCAGGAGTGATGATGGGTTGATGGAACCTGTCATAGGATTGTGTGGGAAGAGAGCCTGTGCGGGCTCTGCAAGACGACAGGTGGCTTGCCGTTTCTCTGGATAGGTTTCTTAAAGCGAACAGAAAAACTGATTCTACACGGATTCAGTCGTTACGCTGATATGCTGATAGAACCAATTGGGGAACAGTATGGATAGGTGTATGGATCTGGCATTAATAACCACTTAGACTGGCTATTCCCATGGACTTTCGGAGAGGAGGAGTACAACCGATGACCGCCCTCAGAACATTCAAATTAGACGTGGCCGTGGAACAGGTTTTCCTATTTTGCCAGTTATCCTGGCAAAAGTTAAGTGCAAGGGACTTCGGACAAATTATGCGCATTTTTGACGGGGAGTCCGAGCTTCAGAACGGTATTTCTCTTTCTGTCTAGGTGAGCTGAACCGCCGTTACATGGGGAATTAGTGCGCATAATTTCATAAACAACTCTGCCATCAGGCATCAGGGATCCCCTGGTTGGGGATGTGTGGTGTGTGGTGCAGGGAGTGGGGCGTGTAGCCGAGGGAAATGACAGGAAGCTTTTGGTAGTCATCGCGTTGGTCGCTGCGCAAAAATTTCTTGTGCCCCCCGGGAATCATTTTTGCCTGATGCCGATGTTGTACATATCCGTACATACGAGTATGCATGTGAACACGGGGTACATCGAGTTATGCTGGGAATTCGTTGATGCGGGCGGGGCAGCAGGGAGCCAGTGAAAATTTGTACGAGTATCTGTACTAAATTTCATATGAAGTGATTTCAAGCGTAAGAAATGTCCCAGCAACAGCAGAAGCAGAGGGAGTACATCAATATTATATGTATATATCTGTATCTCGAGTACACAGTCATGAGGCGCAGCGTTTGGAATATGCGGAAAAACTTGGCGCAGGTTCAAAAAAAAAGTCCGAAAAAGCAGAGAAAGAAGAATTTCATATCAAAATTACAAACAGGCCCAGGACAGTGGCCAACTCTCCGCCAGAAAAATGTGGATGATGAACGAGTCCGGTAGGGGATCTCTCGTCCCGTCCGCATTGTCGTTGTTCAGCTCAGCCAAAAGCCAAAAGTGCCGGAAGTCGTGAACTCAGCATGGGAATGTGATTAAATGCATTGCTGTCACTCTGTGCATAAACTAAATTTGACTAATTTCGTTATTTATTGGGCCGAGTGGAAAATTCAAAATTTCTAAATGGCAAATTACATTTTTGAAATGCCTAAAATGATTAATGCGTGCCAAACTAACCGTTTCCATTTCTTCTGTCTCCTTGCAGCTTAGACGCCCAACAAATATACATCTCTAAATGCATCAGCTAAGCAACAGTATTTTTGCTCAACAATAATTATACGAAAACTCTGAACACGTAGCCGTGATTATTTGTTGCATTTGAATAAAAACGTTGAAGATACGGGCAGCAGAGAGAACGCAGCGAGCTTAAGCCAATAACGTAGTACGACTAGCAAAAGACACCACCAATTTAATTTTATCTAGATACATAAATACGCATACGCAAGCAAAGTAGCCAAAATATCTATATGTTTAGTACGTGTATCGGTCATTTATGATTGATATACTCGCATAGCAAAGTTATATTTACAAAACCCACAACTTAATCGGAAGGTGAGCCTGCAAAAGACAACTGCTGCGATACAGACCGCCGAGTACGGTCAGATCCACATACATTTTCATCCAAACCGCGTTTAAACAAAGCCAGCAAAATAGATACCATGGAAGACAATAACACGAGCAGCAGTGCGGGCGGTGCGTCCATCAAACACGAGGATCCTTCGGTGACACTCACAATAAGGCTGATTATGCAAGGAAAGGTAAGCCAAACTGTATTTTATTCTCAAATATTTTACAAATGTAGCTAAAAAAGGGGCATCTATCGATGGGGGGCTCCCCTTTGAAAAGGCTGAACACAGAGAGTTGCCGAAACAACTCCATGACAACCCATTGAAAGTTATACATATATTATAAGTTAATAGGCTCATATGTAGAGGTGTAAAAAAGAAAGCAAGTCTTTGGAGCCACTCCAATCAAAATAGGCAGCCCAAAATATAAACGCTTTAATGCACACCATTGAGCTCTGGCATCTTAAATATTTATGGACCTCTTTTTCAATTCGCACAAAATCAATAACTGCGATGGCAGGCGCAGAATGGGAAGGCAAACAAAGGGCAACCCGGCCAGAGCAAACATTAATGAAAAAATTACACATTAACGCGTGAATTTTGTATGCAAATTACAATTAAATACGCGCCCGTCACACATTATGCCATTGCATTTAAGGTAGATGAAATGGGGCAGAGTCGGGGATACATGGGTGTATATAAGTGCGTAGAGATATAAGCACTGGGCCATAAAAACGAGACGAAGTAAGGCATCGGCTATTAAACAATCATTACGGCTCCCAGATATGTGCAATAAAAACAAAGCAAATAAAGTACACCACTTTATAAATTGTTTTCATTGCCCACAATAACAAAATTCGAACACACTCGCATCCATATCGCATGTATGTAAATGCTGCACGGAGAAACGGACATCCAGCGGGCTATTTCGCATAGCAACTCGGCCTGCGGGGCGACAGGTTAAACCAGTCGCAAAAAGATGGCATATAAAAATAAATATTAAAATATTTACCGGGACGAAATTAACCACAAATCGAGGACAACAGCGCATTGTGTGTGCTTTAATCAAGGGAACTGTTTTGATAGCAATTGCTCAGCACAAATACCCCCAGGCGATTCTCTTGCTATGAAAAAATATGTGAGCTGAGAGTTCAATTGACGTAAATGATGCTTTAGTAGATCCATTCAAATATTGTTTAATCAATAAAAGCAATTATAGCGCTGCTCTTGATTTTGGGTTTGTTTAAGCTTGCCTAAAACCCATATCTCTAAAGTTAAAGATACTTATTGAACTCCAGCCTCTTTATTACACCGACTGATTTACTGCATTCAAAGTAGTCAAGCTGAGAGCGGCATTAAACAAAGCGATAGGAAAACAGACACTAAATAGCTGCTTATTTATTTAATAACAGTCAACAGCCATTAAAAACTATTATTCAACGACATTAGTAGCCAGCAACAATCCCGAGAAGGCTGTCACGCAAATCCGCATCGTGGTTGTTGTTTCTTGAGCTGAGTTGAGTTGAGTTAAGATGCGATGCGATGCGATGAGAGGCTTGCCACTTGAGAGATCTTGGCCAGAAGATGGAGGGAACCCAACTCCCCAGCACGCGTTGAGTGGGCAAAGCCGTCATTTATCTTTTTCAGTCTTTTCCCCAGCAAAAGCTGATTTGCAGCGGGTTGGCCCAGGCATCGATTTAATTATAAGTCTTTGGTCGTTGTTGCACATTATTTTTATCCCACCAAGATTTGAGGGGCCGCGGCAGGTGCACATAAGGCGACAGGCAGGCGGAGTGCAGCGAGGTGTGCGGAAGGGGCTCGTTACATGATGTGCAGTCGAAAATTGGCAAAAAGGCCAGAAATATGTTCAGACGCGACAATTTATAGCAGAAGCAGCAGCCAAGCACACAAAGAAAGCAAATTAAGCCAAAATGGAGGGGGGTAGTCTTTCTAGCAGAGATTTGGCTACCTGGTGTGGAATCCCTTAGACGATCGCGGATCTCGTGAGTAATTGCGCACTTTTGGGCTTTTACACAATGTGCCAGAATAAATAAATATTGTGTAAATGCAAATGCGAATTCTGCACATTTGCCGAGATTCGCTTTTCCTTTTCTTGCCAGCACAAGGATTTGGGCAATAAATTCCCAAGACACTTTTGTGCGGCGCCGACAGACTAAGGCTGTCGTTTGTCGTTGTTGCTGGTATTTTGATCGATAGTTATAGATTAGCATGATTTATGCGCTTTTTTCAACAGCCGCACAGATGTGAATAAATTTGAAGCGCAATGCAAATCAAGTGGCGAGCAGGAAAAGGAGAAAAAGAAACACCAGCGCGGCAAATAAACAGCCAAGTGCTGTCAACTGAGTTGGCTTGAAAATGAATTGAACACAAATCTCGACGGCCGTATCGATATATGAAGCTTAATTGCCTTTAAAGAGCGGAGACCTTGTTTTATGGTACAGATGTGATGAGATATAACTAATGTATTGTGGGGAATGGTTAGGTCTCATGAATTTCCTTGACACAAGGGGGAATCATTAGGAATTGGAAGCCAAACTTTGAAATAGTACACTGCAATGAAGAAAATATGGGCAATTATAGCTGCGTTGCATTTCCAGTAATTAATATATAAATACAAAGTGGGGAAGCAAAACGTGTTAAATAATATTGAACTCAATTGCCGTTTGTGATTAATTCGAGTCATCATCGCATAAATCTGCAAGCGAGTCATAATTGCAATTATTCATTAATGAAAAATTGAGTGTACATCTCTGTGGGTAGGTACAGTCAGCGACACAATCGTATGCACTTTCAGGGCAGGCAGTAGTGCAAGGCCAGAGTTGCCATTGTTGCCCAAGCATATATTTTTGATATTCTCCAGCGTCTCTAATTAACTTTGGCTCATTATTTCCATGACGAATGTCGCACTCAGTCTCTAGGTCTGAGTCAAAATCGCAGTTGCAGTCGCGTCCAAAGTCGTGATGCAGTTAATTAATTTATGAAAAATGAAAACTGCAAACTGGAAACTGGAAACCGGGAGGGAAAATCAACAACTTTGCCATGCAATCGAGCGACGGAGTGCGCAAAAGAGCACCTTTTCCTTTGTTTTGGGCCCGGCTGTTTGCTTTTCTTTAAATTGGTCGTTTTTCTGTACACCTTTTTATTTCTTGGCAGCCGTACGCAAATTGCATAGAAAGAAACCGAAATGTGGGTTGCTCTCTCGCCTAGAATTGTAGGGCAGTAGACAGAGATATTTGTTGCAGTTTGCAGTTTGCAGTTGTTCTTATTTCTGAATCATGCATTTTTAATTAGTGAAATTGCACGACGCCGACGACCGAAGGCACCTTCATGTGAATTTTCATCCCAGTCCGCCACATTTCCCAAGCACTTGTCTAATTTTAATTAACTATTTTCCGAAGCGTCCGACTTCAGGGCTTGGTTGCGCGATGGATTTCAATACATTCGTTCCCAAAGTTCGTTTTCCGTCTTCAGGAGTTGCTAGTTTCATCATCGCCACAACTCAATTACCTAAATTGAGGCTCAGAGCTCTCCCGGAGTGCATTGCAGTATCCCTTCAGTAGGAGCCTGTAGGAGACATTTCTCTTTCGCCCGTGCGTTGTTTTCGTTATTTAATCAAATTAAAAATATGCCACTTGCTGCGTGGCAAGGCCCTGTCCGGCATCTGGCCCTGGCAAATTGTAAATAATTTAATTGTACAATTTTTTGCGTTTCGCCTGCCGCAGCAGCAGCAACAACAGCGCAACAGCGCAACAGTGCAACAGTAAAGACTATAGCCAAAAATGCGAATTGAAAAGTTTGCAGGGCGACAAATGCGCCGGATGATTTATTGGATGGGGTGGTGGAATGGCGCTGGAGGAGGCGCAGGGGAAGTGGCACATGTGTGCCACAGCAGGCCATATGTGAGCTCCCCCGGCCCCTGCACTGCTCCTTTCCCAGATTGCATTTTCCAGCATTTGTGGCAAGTTTTTCTTGCATTTTTCCTTTGCAACAGCAAACTGCAGCTCCCATAAATGGTTCTCACGGTTTCGCAATGGCTGTCGCAGATTTTTTGCTGCCGATGGTGTTGCTAGTGTGGCTGCCGCTATGTTGCTGCTTTTCGCTTATTTTTATACAATTTTCAACGCCGCCACACATTAAGACCAAACATCGCAGAGATCGGAAGAGGGGAAAAACATGGGACAAGTCATGCTACTCCAACAATTTTCGGTTGTTGTCTGAGTTAAAGCTAAGGCCAAAGCTGCGATTGTTTTCTTTTTCTCGTTATTTTCTCCTTTCTGTCTTTCTACTGGCTGCTCCACTAACATCAAAAACTCTTTTCCCCAACTCCCCCATTCAGTCGCTTTTATTGTGGCCCGCAATTAGCGTTGTCCATTCTTCGGACCTTAGCTTTAATGCGTTTTCAGTTATTGTTTGTTTCTCCTCTCCGATGCCATTGTTATTGCCGTAATCTTCAGGGCCGTAATCTTCCATGTTTCGCCCCATGGTGGAATAAATGGAACTAGCCAAATTTTGTGCTTGGATGGACATTGTGTGAGAATATACAAAGAGATGTGCGCAAAGAATTTGGGATGGGCTATCAGATCTACATATGTCACTTATGCAACCACGGTATATCTAATTAACTGAACTAGAATGGCTTTTGCATTAAATAATTCAGTGCTTTAATATATTATTATCTATTATTATCTATTATCCATTATCTATTTAAAATCACATGTATTGATTAGAAACAAAGCTCTGATTTTCTAGTCCCATCAACAGTTTTACCATTTTTAATTGAAGGCTTTTATTGGCGAAAGGCCAACTAACTTGTAATAGTCCCTTGAGCTGCAAAACAAAGCGAAATCAATAGCAATGAACAGTCAAATCTTATTTCCTGACCACAGAACGGAATGTGGGCATTCTGAAATGGCTGCCAGTCAATGGCTGCATGTCAACTTTCCAATGCATATTTTATGCAAGCAATCGCAATCCCCGCCAGAATCGGACTGAGCCCAGCGAGCTGTGTGGCTCGAACCCAAAACATTCCATTCGACAAAATTCTGTCGAAATGTTCCAGCTGGGCCGCACCGCAAAGTGTTTTCGCATACAAGACTCGCACGCATGTGGAAATCGGAAAATGCGAAAATGCCAAATGGTTCATTGTTGCAGCAGGAGCTGTGCCGAGGAGCGCTGTGGATTTAATTGCCGGCGGGGAGGCCATTCGCCGAACCAACAGCCGAGCAGCAGGGTGTTGGTAAGTGGATGAGGTGGATGAGGTGGCTGAGGTGGGCGAAGGCCAAATCAATGCAATCGAGTGAAAGTCCCGAATCTCGCTCTATTCACAGTAATAAAACGGCGTTGGATTTAGGACGGACGAGGGGATGAGATCCGATTTATGCAAATTGCGCAAACTTCTGAGCGGAACTGAACTGGCCCGCAATCGCAACGAGATAATTGAATGGAAGCTACGCACTGGGCGGAATGTGGGCTCTGGGTGGGCATCTGAGCGGCTTTCGGCCAGATTATTAATGATGATGACGAGGCCGAGGCGCTGATGAGCAGCCATCAACCTGAATGGCAACGAGGGCCGAGTGCCACCGAAAGTGCGTAGTCTCTAGGCCACTCTGCACTTAAATGTCGTGGCCCAGATGAGAATTTAGCTAACTTGTCCTATAAATTACACTGGTCGCCCAGAAATTCGTCTATGAGTGCAGACAGGCGTAGAATGCATCTGAGTTGGGCTCGACCATAATTGCGCCAATAATTATGCCAATACGCTCTGACATTTCTGTGCAATAAATATCTATACTGCCGAATAAACTGGCCTGCATCCATTTCGCTCTCGTGAGCATAAATTTTCTGGCCAAGAGTGGCCAGAACGCAAGCACCGCATAAAAATCAGATAATGTGAGGGGAGGGTCAAAGGCGGAGGCAGTTTTCCCTCGCACATTGTTTTGCCCAGCCTGCATTTTGTCTGGCAAGCTGCCCGAATCAAGATGTATTCGCTGACTCTGGGTGCGCTCTTTTAGTCTTTCAGTCGGCACAATGGATTGCTGCACTTTGGATTTGTGAAGGTTGTTCTATGGTTTATGGCCAGCAAATTGAATGGCTGAGAGTGGCAACATTTTGAAACGACCAAATAAATGGTTTGAAATATATATGGGGAGCATAGCATTAAACATAGGCAATTAGCCAGTACGAATGATGAAAAAGGCTGTACGCTTGAAACAGTCAAAATGTGCTATTCTAACTAGATTTATAGCTCAACATACATAATTGCTTTCTTTGAAGTCCTTCCCATCATATTTTAAGTATAGCCATCCCTTTAGCTTTCATTTAGCGACAAAACTCCATTCAGATATATTGATTACCCTACCCGCGAGGTGGGAACGGCGCTTGGAGGAGGACACCTCTTGGCCATATCCCTTTTGTAGTTCAGCTCCTCCCATTTAATTTTCGCAATGGTTTTTTGTTTAAAAACTCTGTTACTGGCTGTGGCAGTGCTGATATTTACAATCAATTAAAACACGTAAAACGCGCTGGCCGCAAATTTCATTACGTGCGACAGTTTCCAGCGACGACAGGCGACTGACTGTGAAAGGGAAATGGGATCGCTTCGGGCTGGCTTGGGTTTTCTGGCTGCCACTCTGGGTGACGCGGGGTGTGGAGCGTGTGAAATGCTTTTTGTGGCAATTAAATATGCAAAAGTAGTTACACACACACGCAGAGCCATTGCTCTTCCGCTGTGTGCTCCGGCATAATATCACTTAATATTTAATCAAATTTGGGCTTCATCGCTGACAGTATCAGGCGAAAAACAAAAATACGAAACTCACTTAAAGGTTTTTCGATGTCCACAAGTGCGGGAGTGGCTCGAGCCAGATACATCTTAAAAGCATTTAAAAGTTTCTTGGCTACATTTTCTCCAGTTACAATAATTAACATATTTTCCCTGTTTTGCCTTTTTGCAGGAGGTTGGTAGTATTATTGGTAAAAAGGGTGAAATTGTCAACAGATTTCGTGAAGAGGTAAGTCCCTCATCCCAAAGGCTCTCAAAAATCCGCAACTAATTCGGTATTCTTCCACAGTCTGGTGCCAAAATCAACATTTCGGATGGCTCATGCCCGGAACGTATTGTGACTGTGTCTGGTACAACTAATGCAATCTTTTCGGCATTTACGCTCATTACAAAGAAGTTCGAAGAGGTATGTGTGCGGTACAACTGGCCAGTCCCTATTATAGTCGTCCACCAGGCTCTAGCCTTTCCAGTTCACATTACTAACTTCTGACCCGTTTCAGTGGTGCTCGCAGTTCAATGATGTAGGCAAAGTTGGAAAAACTCAAATACCCATTCGATTGATTGTGCCCGCCAGTCAATGTGGATCGTTAATTGGTAAGCGGATTGAAAATACAAACAATAGCCACCACTAATGCCATCAATTTGCACTCGGGACAGGCAAGAGTGGTTCAAAGATTAAGGAAATTCGTCAGACCACGGGCTGCTCCATCCAAGTGGCCAGTGAAATGCTACCCAATTCCACGGAGCGGGCGGTAACTTTGAGCGGCAGTGCCGAGCAGATCACCCAGTGCATCTATCAGATATGTCTTGTCATGTTGGAGGTGAGCTTGCTATAGACTATTCAGGAAACTATTCCAACTAGAGTTTCGCTCGACGAAGTTTATTAGAATTCTCCTTTTATTTCCGCAAGTTAATGATTTTTTTCTCAAACAGTCCCCGCCACGCGGTGCTACCATCCCGTACCGACCAAAACCACAGGTCACTGGCCCCGTTATCCTGGCCAATGGACAGGCTTTCACCATCCAAGGAAACTACGCGGTGCCCACACAAGAGGTATGTAGGTGGACGTCTGGCCGAATTCTCACCCAGAAAACTAGGCTATACGTGTTGTTAAGATCAGTGAACAGTGTTGTGTACTCTATTGCTAGCCACCGCTGCTATATATCTCGCTCTGTCTCTATCTTAACCGACCCCACATGAGTCCAGCTAAACAATTTCGTATCTATTTGAGTTTGTCCCGTCCAAGCCCAACTATCTTTTTGGTTATTGCGCGACTTCACTTTCTATTTATCCTCTTAATATTTCTTTAGTTTATGTTATTATATTTCTTTGTCCATATTTTACTCTCTCTCTCTCTCTCTCTCTTGTGTTTCCGCCGAATATCCATTGCCAGTTTCCCTTGCTCTATAGACCCCGATTATTATTTGCAATTTGCAACACCGTCCACAACTCCCTCCCCTCTTTCTCCGTAATCTCTTCACTTGGAGACCCTGATTGAGTCCATAGAAAAACCTCCTGCGATTTGTGACCCGTTTCTGACCCTTCTGAACCCAACCTCACAATCTACTGTAACGATTACCGTTAAAGAAACCGATTCCAAAACCGATACCGAACCGATTACCGCTCCCAATCGTCGTACCCATGAGATTCATCTATTTTCAAGTCCAAGTGGTGACCCCGAACAGTGAACTAATGTGTTAACAAACTTTACAGCCATCGAATCGCCGAATATAATTAACGAAATTATTTAAAATAAACTTTAAAATATGTACTTTTGTTTTGCTTTTAGTTTCTTTTGCACTCTCTTCTCTCAGGTTAAGAGCGTGTGGCTGCGAGGAGAGTGCGTGCGCGTTCGGTCTCTCTCTCAGTCTGCCCCGGCACCTGTCTCTGTCTCACTGTGAGAGTCTGCGATAGTCTCCGGGAATCTCCGATCTCCGAGAATCGAATCCGCAGCATCCTGAGGGAAGAATCCATGGGTTTCTTCCGCCTCAGAGAAAAGTGTTCAAGGCGTGGCGAGGCGAGGCGAGTGAGTTCGTGTGAAAGAAAGAATGGCTCGCGGGGAGCGGGGGCTCGAACTCTCTCTCTTCACTCTCTGCTCAGTCTATCTGTGTCTCTAAGTTCTGTTCTGAAGAGGGCTCGCTGGCAGCGTGTGTTAAGAAGTATGTTCAAACTACACTAGTCCACCTTTCTCTCCAAACCCCATCTACGTACATACATATATCCGCCATAACTATCCAACCCGAACCGAAAGTAAACATCTATTAATCAAATCCACGACACATGACAAGATCCACATAAAAATAAACTCCTATAAACTCTTTGAGCGCCAGTTAACTAATCGTATCGTATCGAATATTAAATAATTCAACTCCCATCTTTATATTACTATATACACTTATTTGCCAACGACCTGCGTTCTCGTGATATCTCTTGATTTTCGTGTAGTAGAGTCATTCATCAAAGCTTAGCTTTCTCTACAACGGATAAATCCATATGAATAGTCAACAAAACTGCGGAGTTCACCTCATAAACAAATAAAGAGCGGCTCCATCTTTAGAGGAGTTTTTACCAGAACAACAATGCCCATTGCCATTTTAAGAACAGCATACTGTTCCAATACCGTCCTGCCCGAGCCCTACATCTCTTACACTCTAATACTCTCTCGCCACTATCCTTCCATTGTAATCTACAAATATTGGTTGTAACTCTGTTAAAAATCCCACGTCAAAATCGAATTTTGTGCTCTGCAGAACCGCAGGAACCAGCAAACAACAGCTAAAACAAAACAACGAGCAAACAAATTAAATTCCATGCAATCCAATTCAGGCCCCAGTACAGTCAGTCCCGTCCACTAGAGTACAGTACAGTACAGTACAGCACAGTAAAGTTCAGTTCAGTTCTCCGACCTTCAGAGCCCCCTCGCCAGCCATTGCCCCAACGAAAAATAAAAGTTTCTCAAAACTAAAACAGACAAAGTTCTTGTTGTCGCATCAAATTCAATTAATGTCCAGAAAAAAATGTAATAAATCAAAAACTAGTTGTACCATCCACTTGCGATATCTCTCTATCTCTCTTCCACAAATCGCTATCTTTCTCACTCTCTCCTCCTGGTCCTGGTTATTGTCGGTGTTGGTTTACAATTCGTTAGCCTAATGCAGGCAGTAGTGTGCAAACCCGCCCCCCACAGTTGTCAATTTCGTTCACAATGGGTACTGTTTTGCAGGGTTAAGTTTTTGAGCTGCGGCAAAATGCAAAATGCATTTCTATATAATAGAGTACCCAATGTGATTTTGCATTGCGATAGCAGTCTAGGCAGTTGGCAACTGTACCTCATCCCCTGCGAATCTGTCGGCATTGGTTGTTGTATGAACCTCAAAACCCTTGGATCATCCGAGCCCCAAAACCGGACCCTCGAACTCAAAGTATAAACCCCATTAGATGTCATCATTTGTTTTAGTATGTCTATCCCCCTGATATCATTTAACTTTGTTCTGCGTTGCAACAAACCCCGTTGAGAACCCCCGCCTCCACACCAGAAACTGCACACACGTCTCGAAAGCTTTCTACAAGAGTTTCTCTAGCGATACGTCTATATCTAAACATGTATCTGATAAGCTTACATCTCTCCATAGCAACTACAAAGTTAAGATCTTAACCAACTTGCTCTGAAAGACATTTATTTGTGGTATACAATATTCGTTCTTCTACTTTTCTTTCTTCCTTGGCCACATAATTTGAATCGCAAAAACACACGAAACACAATTGTAATTCCACACATGCACACCAAACACACACACACACACAAAACCGAAATGATCAATCAATCGAACGAACATAGACCTGTCCAGTATTTCCACTTGCCCTGGCTACCGGCGGCCTACATGCTGGTATCTCAGGCTTGGCGGATCCTTTGTTAAAGGGGGCACATTTACAAGGAGCGATACCAGCACACCACCATCACCTACAGCAAATGCCCGATGTGAGTTTTAAGTTATCGATGCGATTCGGTTCAAGAGCACGAACATCTCCACCAGACTCTTGAAAGAAACTGTACTCGTCTAACCAATATAATCAAACGCAACATGACTCGAGAACCCAACTCCGTCAGGCAGAGCATGATGATGTACCGTCCCCCGACACCTGCCTGTACTCCCTCGCATCACACTAAAAAGCACTCAGAAAAACGAACAGTTAAAACATTTAATTAGTCGAATGGCAATAATTTCTATAATAAGATAGTCGGTTTACATAAGCGAAACCTTAATGATGATCACTGACGTTTATTTTTCTGAGTGTACATAGTTGTGTTGATATGTTGCTGTTGTTATTCTACCCGTCGTAGCAACCTCCTCAGTAGCCCCCAGTTCCGGTTTTTGTAGCTTGTATACCCAGTTTACTACCTTTGGCATTTCTTTTACGATCCCCAGTCGGCGCAACCGCTTGCCACATTTCTATGACATTGGGCCAAACTGCAGCTCCTTGACCAAGTCCAGGTCTCAGAAGTTGTTGTCCCCACAAAGTCGTTGGCCGAAGTTACACAAAAAATGAGACCGAGGGTACTTGGAACCCTTTATCCCAGCCAAAAGTAGAAAAATGCTCTTTTGGTCCCACCTAGCCTCCCCCTCCTCGCCAAAGCTAAAGTTTTTCGTAGTTTTGGAAATTGCTACAACTTGTTTTCTATTTGTATTTGTGTATTAGCGTTTTTATGTGTACTGTCTGTGCTTGGCAAGAAGTGTTTGTTAATATGCCAACACACGCAAGTTTGTATGACAGTTTTTGCTAGATAATCCGTTGTAGTTTCCCCTATCCGCCCCCCTCCCACCACTCTGTCACTGAACTTTATTGAGTTGCAATTCATTTTTGGGTCATAAAATATTTCCATAGCGCATGTTTTATTTGTTTCATTTGAAATTCGTATTGCATTTTGATAAATATTTCAGTTCTTGTTTCCTAAGCTTTCACACAAACACCCCCCACTCAGACACACACACACACGCACACACACACACACCCAGATGCATTTCCCCACTCGCACATGCACACAGAAATAAAAGCACACAAAGCATTTGAATATTGTATGATTTATTTGAGATTTTCTCTATCCTTTTTTGTGCGCTCCTTTCTAGTGAATCATCTGCCACCATTTTCCCATTTCCTCCCCGCAGCATTCTGATGCAATTATTTGAAACATATTTGCAAGTGTTGCATTTGATTTGATTAATTTATGGAGCGCGTGCGAGTCCCCATTTTACGAGCCCCAAAGTCACCCCATATCTTGACCCGTTCGAGTCCTAGTTTACATGCACATGTGTGCGTGCGTGTCAGTGTGTGTATGTTATTTGCTGTAGGTGTTATTGGTGAAAAGAGGAAAAGCAGAAATAGTTAAGGATGCACTGAATTTTGCCTAAAGTAAGGGTAACCTAGCCCAGATTAAGAAAAATAAAGGGGAAATCATTTACAAAAGCATTAGCATACTTTTCGGAGTAAATAAAGAACAATCATCAAAGATATTTAGGACATGTCGCCCTCAATCCTTATGGTTTAAGTTATTTATGTGAAACGAATTCAAGCGCAAGCTTCCTCTAGGTCTATTCCCTGTAAATCTATTAAATGTGTCAACTTTCTCTATCCTCGTCCATCCATCTATCTGCCTCCGTACCCATATATTTCGTATAGCCAACTTGTAATTGTGTAGAACCATAATCCAGAGCAACACTCAAATTGATGCTTTAGACGGCGGAAAAGCCAGATACATACATACACATCAGCTTACACCGCACTATAAATACTTACATACACTCGTTACCGAACCCTTGGATCCATGTACAAAGATAAATACGATCCCACTACAAGCAACCTCATAGTGTTTGTAAAAAGAACTGAAGATGGAGTATAATCTTGTAACCCGTTTGCTTTTCCTATTGCATTCTGTTCTTGTATCTATTTGTTTGACGCTTTTCCGTTTCCGTTCCAACCACATCCCTTTTGTTATGTTCCAACTGCGTTACCTGTTACTGGAAGTTGACACGCGTTGTGTTGTGATCTTGTGATCTCTCCCTCCACAAAATACAGACCAGCCCCCGATAAATAGATGATAATTAACCCAACTGTATACATACACACACACCTTAACCCACGAAGCCCCAGAGCCCCAACGAATAAGATGAAACACGAATCTAATCCAATCTAATCCGTTTCGTACTTTTGTCTCGCTCTGCGAACAGGTGGCCAAGAACCCGCTGGCCAGTCTGGCCGCCTTGGGCCTGGCTGGGATGAATCCGGCCAGCACTGGGGGCATCAACCACACAGGTGAGTTGAGCGCTTCTGCGGCCAGATGCCAGACAGATTTCCAATCTAATCTAGGCTCTGCCCCAGCAGCCTTGGCTGCACTGGCCGGGTCGCAACTGCGTACAGCGAATCCCGCGAACCGAGCCCAGCAGCAGCAGCACGAGATGACCGTCTCAAACGACCTGATTGGCTGCATCATCGGTAAGGGCGGCACCAAGATCGCCGAGATTCGCCAAATATCCGGCGCCATGATCCGGATCTCCAACTGCGAGGAGCGCGAGGGCGGCAATACCGACCGCACCATCACCATCAGCGGCAATCCGGACTCGGTGGCCCTGGCCCAATACTTAATCAATATGAGGTGAGTGCATCGATCTTGTTCAGCCTTCCATCAGCTATCTCTCTCTCTGTATGTGTGAGCGTTTGTTGCTTGTGTTGTTGTCTAACATCAATTTTGTCGAATTGACTTGCTAATTGACAAAGAAGAAAGAAGGTATAAGGAGGTCGTCGGTCGTAGGTTGTAGGTCGAAGGTCGTAGGTTATAGGCCAACTCTCAGAGGCGGAGTGGCGGTGCGTTCATATGTTCAGCCCATTACGAAGTCCGGGGAGGTGGGCGGGTGGGCTGAAGTGCAAAACGGTGAAGCGGTAAAGCGGGCGGGTGACGGTCGAGTCATTAACAAAGTTGCGTACGTAGCCTAAGCCACACACATGTCCTAGCCTGTAAGTCGTAAGCCCGGCCAAAGGCCAATGTCATTGCCAATGCCAATGCCAATGCCCAAACTAGCACCACAATTCGTATAATTTTCCACCCTCACACCCCTAGATCGTAGTTCGCATCGAACGCTAGCCTAACCAACTGTTCTAGCTAATAGAAAACTATAAATATCTAACTGTATAAACCTAGCATCTAGTCTTACCAACCATGTATAATATAAAAGTTCATCAGGCCCCGGCCGAATCCGAGGATGAGCAGGAGGCCAATGATTGTGAGGATGATGAGGCCTGCACCGAATTAATCTACGCATCGCACACTTTTCACACAACTGAAAATGACAATAAAAAACTGGACCTGATCCAATTGGTACTTCAAACTGCAGTTCAACTCCAAAACGATCCAAAACCTCACTTCCCGTCCAAAAAAAAAAAAAAAAAAAAACCGACCCTGCCGAATCCCACCACCATTTAGTTCATCCTCCAAGTCAATGATACTCTTTCGGACCATACCTCCCCATTAATAGCGAACAGCACACCAAAAGTTTTCTACTCCTACCATCCAAAATTTGAACGCCGCTCTCCCAACAAAACCCCCCCCCAAAATGGCTGAAAAAGCACTTCTTTTTTATCTCTCTCTCCGTCAACTCCGAACCGTTCCTCCACACAAAACCTCCTTAACCTTTCGCATAACAAAACACGAAAAGAATCAAGAGAAGATCAAATGAAACCAACTCAATTCCACAAAATCGAAAAAGAACCAAATGTTTTGAAAATACCTATACCCTGGCAAAAAAAAGAAAAAAAAAAAAAAAAAAAACCGAAACAAATACCAACAATATCCCAATTTGTTCCTTTCTTTCTCTCTCTCTTTCTATCTACCTTAACCGAACCTCGTCCACAGTGTTGAGCTGCAGAAGGCCAATCTCCTGGAACAGGCCCAGGCCCAGCAGAACGGAGGTGCTGCCGCTGCTCCCGGAGCTGCTGCTGCCGGAGTGGCGGCAGTCGCCGGAGCAGCAGCTCCGACCTCGGGCACAAACGGAGCTATCACGACGGTGGCCCTCACCAGCGGCACTGGTGTCGTGGGAGCGAGTGCCGCAGGAGCCACCGGCGTTGCCAATGGTGCAACTCCGGCGGTCAACGGCGGTGGCAGCAATGGCAACATCTCCGCCACCGGATACGCCAGTGCCAATGGCGGCCAGGCCACAAACGGATCGGTCGGGGTTAACCCGACAGCGGCAGCCGCCCTGTCCAGTCCTCTGGCCTCGGCCCTCCAGCTGCTGACCAAGCCTGGAGCCCTAAGCGCTCTGTCCAACCTGAGCGCCCTTGACCTGCTCAACCTGACCACGCTGGGAAATACCAATGGGGCCGGAGCCAATCCGGGCGGACCGCCTGTGCAGACGACGGGCGTAAATCGGGCCAAGGGTCACTATGCCACCTCCCGCTTCCGGCAGCACCAGACAGAGACCGGCGGCGAGGCGGAGAAGCCGCGCAACAAGTTTAATCCGTACTAGGGGTAGGGCTGCAGCTGCGTCAGCTGGAGAGCAGTGGATTTACAGTCCCGTAGTGTTATAGGATTTATAGGATTTCCATGGTAGTGTTGCGAAAGCTTTAGTCTTTAGATTCTTGAAGAAGAAGAAAAATTGTATAAATTCGCTTTAAACTTGTTTGGTATTGTATTCAAATTCGTATTCGAAGTTTCAAGAAAATTCTTACATCTAGTTAAACCGCAGTATCATCCCAGTAATATGTAGACAGAACCTACGCAATATTTATTAACGTTTTTGAAAAACAAACTAACCACAACAATAAGAAGTCACACTTAGATCAGCCGCATAGGGCAGCTAGAGATTTGAATAATGGATCAAAATCGAAAATCAACAATTTTGTGTATCGAATATGTAGGGGGGACAGGGTCATCTGTGTATGGCCCGAATAAAATATTTTGACCAAGTGACCAAGTGAAGGACCCTAGTAGGCGCTATAGATTTTGGACCCCAAACTTTTGATAAATGCCTAGTATGACTTATATACACCGGTACACGGAACTGTATCGAACATAACAGAATTGCCAAATTTTAGCGCATCCCCTAATAGCGTTCTTCGAAGTTTTAGATTAGATTAAATCGCGTTTGTCGGAGACGAATACCGAATACCGAATACCGAATATTGGATATAGAGAAGGTACCGAGCATAAATGTATCCTCAACAGCCAACAATCTTTACCCAATCCATTCATTGTAACATAAAACACAATCCAATACTTATAATCCATTGTACTCTCTTAGATCGTAAGCACTAAACGTAGTTTTCCTATATATACGATTATATTATTTAAACATTAAGCATAAAGACCCAAAAGCCATTTTCCGATTAAGGAAGCAGCAGCAATGAAAATGAAACAGGCAGATGAAGAAATAAAAAAGAACCTTCTATAAGAAGTTTACAAAAAGAAATTCCAATGCGTAGAGCCCCCGAGCCAAGAGGAAAACGATGAGATTTAAACTCGGAGCGAGGGGGATCAACGACCTTTATGGACCAATTCGCTCTAATTGACGCAATCGACGCAATGAGCGTACAAAAACGAACTATTTGAGTAGAAAAAGGAATACACGGAGAAACATGAAAACGCTTAGAAATGGCGGAAAGAGAAATATATTCAAGGCATATTTTTCGCAAAAGGAGAATTTTTGAATAGGATTGAAGAGAACGTTATAATGTATTAGACTTTAAGTCTTCGATTGTTTATGAAATATTATTTGTTGGCTTTACCAATTTTCCCAACCCCAAAATTGTATTTATTACGCGATTGTACATTTTTGTTATTATTTGTAACCAAAACACTTTTGAATTGGTCAAAAATAATGTTGAAAAGTATTTGGAAATTTAATTTTCTCTACCCTAAAGTACACGAAATTATTGTAGCTATTTTAAGGGAACTTGATATGATTTTCTTATTATTATATTTACCGATAGTTTTAAGACGAATGACACATTATGTATCGCATCAAGCTAAGCGGGCTTACGATTTTATAACCAAATTATATTCCTAACTATTCATACATACATCTACATACATACATACCCACATACCCTTGCATACATAACATACATATATGCGAACATACTTATTATTACATACACAATGTAGTTAAAAAGTAAAGAAGAATCGTATAAACATTAAATCTTATAATGAATTATAATACTTTTGGTAATAACGAAAATAGGCACAACTAGAAAAGGCTTACCTGTAGAACAAGAACAGCAGAAGGAACTGCAACAGCGTCGGAAACAAAGCAAAACAGTTTATATGCAAGAAAACATGATGGAAGACACACGAGTTTGTAATAAAGTGAAAAATGAATACTAAACAAATGCAAAAGGGGCACCCCATTATGTTCTTAGTCGGGTGAGGAGAGTTACCGTTGTGGGGAAAAGTTTTGTGGACACCTAATGACAAACTCCTAACGCACCTCTTCCTTTCGCCTTTCAGAATATCAATGGAGACTGCTGGTCTGCCCATACCTGGCTATCACTACATTGCGCCCAGTGCAATTGTCAAAACACCCATTCACTAAATGCAACAATCAACCGCAAGCTAAGCAGCAGCCACAGCATCAACCCGAAGCCGGAGGAGCAGGAGAGGGAGTAGGAGCAGGAACAGGAGAAGGAGAAGGAGAAGGGAAAGGGAAAGGAGAAGGAGCAGCAGTAACATGAACGTCAAATGTTAATTCATAAGCAATATAACTAAAACGGAAAATGAAGGAGAACTTAGCTCGTTCATTTGACACTGTCGGCAATCATACATTGAATACATTATTGAATACACTCATACCCACGGACACACTCACAGACAGACTCGAAGAGAAGCATACATACACGTTATATTTATTCATTGATTCTTATTAATTATGATACTTTCATTAAGTTTTAAATGCAAGGGCAAACAAATACAAGAACTTTTATGTTAAACCGTTTTCAAGGGGCCCAGCGGATAACGTGGGCCACCCGAAGTAAGAACAGAACAGCAATTAATTGTAAGATTAGTCAAAATGAAGACAAAATAAAAAGTATAAGAATCAATTAACCACATAAACATACAAGAATACGAAAAGGCAGAAATTTCAGAATGCAGTTAATTGTAAGCTATTGATTTGTGCACGAGCATGACCAAAAAGGAGCAACAAACACGAGGAAACAAAATGTTTGGGCACTAAAAGAACGGATATGAATTAGACATTGAACAGACAAGCAAACAAACTAAGCAAGCAAAGACAGACCGATGATCACAGACACGACATAAATTATATTTACTGCAAATTGCATCTAGCTTGATGTTTGCGTTTGTTAGTTTGTTTATATGTATACATATATATTATATATAGACACGGCGATGTATTGATATGATAATTTTTATTTTATTATTTCTATTATGGTAATTGTTATCGAAATTGTATTTGTGATTTTTGAATATGTTTAGACTGATGTGCAAAATTGAATCTGTTTATTAATTACAAGTAAACTACACATAAACAATTATGGACTAATTATTAGATATCTCTCTCCTTCGTTCTATATTCTAATCAAATTACTCATTTATTCAAAATTAGATTTAATTTGTTGGCAGCAACAAACTTGATAATCGAAAATCTGTCTAGCAAAGGGATTTACAATGGAATTTCTTTTCAAAACGTTGTAGTTTCTTTTGATTGATTTCTAGTGAAAAATGCCTGTTATGGTGACCACATTAAATCAACATACAAATTAGCGAAAACAATTCGAGTTACAATAATATTTTTTAAGCACTTTTGCGGCGATTAAAAAGACTTTCTAAAGCGTTGAAAAAACGAGAAATGGATTTATATATTATATTACAATTATGCTTAAATTAAAGTATAATTTAATTTTATTAGCTGTTAAATTTATACGCAAAACGTAACTTAAAAGCAAAACAAAAAGAACCACAACAAAAGAGAACATCAAAAATAAATTGATTTTCAATGTTACAATTAAATTAATTTTATTCTAATTTAGTTCATAGGCTGGGCAGTTAAAACCAAAAAATCAACAAAAACACAAGAGTGGTAATTACTTTAAGACACACTAAAAGGTTTAGTTACTTATACACACTAATTCACAATAAAGCCTCTGAATATGAGCTAATCGGTTTAGAAAGCCGAAGGTTAAAGCGATAGAATCAGTTTGCAAATGGCGAAATGTGTCAAATTTTATTATACATATTAATTATTTAGTAAGAGGAATTATCAAAGCATAAAAGAAAACAAAAAACATATCCACTGCAAACGAAAACCAATCTAACCACAACTTATTATATTAACCAACACAAAATACAGAAAGATCACATTATAAAACCGATCAATGCATACATATAAAGGCAAGCATATCCCAGAGAACGCAAAAGATGAATCTTTATAAATGTCTATGATTTTAACTTTCCAAAGTTTTATATTTTGACGTGAGGAATTGACTAAAAACCACTAAGAAGTGATTTACCCTCAACAACTTCTCTTGTCAGCACTTGAAATTGAACTTAAGTCATTCAGTCATTCACAATTTTACATCTTCTGCTCACACAAGAAAGACAAACTTATGAACAACAAAACTTGATTACAGGAAATTGTTAATAGCATAAAGTGTAAAAGTATAAAAAAGAAACATATAAACCCATTTAAACAATAGGAAGAGCCTAGCCCAAACCCTAGCTCCTCTTCTTGAAAAACCGATAGCCTATTTAAGGATCAAGTATCAGGCAGGCGGTGGATAAATGATATCATATGGCGAAACTATTTCGTGATTTTAGTGACAAATATATTTCGCTGACGACAAACAATTTGAAGCAATCATTTTGAAATCAAGAACTTCGGTTCCCAACTTAAGGGGAACCGAACGAAAATATTGAGAAACAGAAATGGTAAATCAGTCAAGAAACCGTATATCTATATAAATAAATTATATATATATGTATATATATATATATATATATATATAAATATACATAAATTAAATATATACTTATTATGTACACTTGTATTTAAATGTATTTGAAATATTTAGTAAATTTTTTGCGCAAGTTACACAGAAAAAACAAACAAAAACACTAAAAAAAAAAGGTGAGGGCGGCTACGGAGATAGACGGGTCAACAGTGGCTAACTGGGATTATTTGTAAAATAAACTAAATAAAAGGGATAATTAATTTATGTGTGTGTATAAGAGGAGTAGCTCAAAAGATTTCACAACAATTTTTACTAAATATGCGTGTAATTAATGTAATTATTAACGACATTTTGTTGATAAATTGTAAATTTGCAAAGGAAAAATACGTGTAAGAAAAGCAATTTTAATGGTGCCTTAAAAACCAACCAAGCAAATTTCTTCTAGCCTGCCTTGCCTGCCCCCCCTCAGCGAACTCAGTACTCAACTGGATGGCATGTGAGTTTTCCACTCCTTTCTCCCACTCTTCTCGGTACTTCCCAGGAGCTCTAGTCCTTGATCGATCGGATCAGATCGGGTCAGATCAATTGGGAGAATATCGTGCCGATATCGTGCGATATGCTAAGTCATCGTGTTATCGTTTCGACATAAGAACTTATCCCTTTTAGCGACACATGGTGACCCACAATTGCTCAAAGCTATCCGAGTATGTGTGCAGTTGCCCGTTACACATCAATCCGATTGCAAATTTGAGTCCGAGTTCCACGTGGATTCGGCTGAAAGGCGAACTAAGCTGCAAGTGCACGTAGTGTATTACGATTAGGACACTGAGGCCCAAGAGAATATTAACAACTAGCCCGAACAAATGATAACCCAGAACACAAGCGAACAAGAACATATTAATAAACTTATATACATATACAGAAAACACACATATTAATGTTTCTCTCAGTGTAATTACAAATCACTTGAATGTATTTGCTCACATTTTTACAATACATGTCGAAGAACTCTACACAATAAGCAACAAACGTAAAAGCATTTAAGGCACTTGATCGGTCGAATGAATGATGGATCGTTGGATGGATGCAAGGTCATTGTTAAAGGAAACACAACTGTAGGGAAAGAGTATAAGAGAATAGAAGCAGTATAAAGGAAAACCAATCCAAAAAACATATTTATATACAAATATAAAGCAAAAATGAAACTTATCATTAAGGTATTTTAGATATTCTTATTTAATATCCAGAAAACAGACAAGAAATTATACGAGCAGAGTTTTAATTTAGCCGCAGAGTTATGGAGAGAGAAATGGGAGATCGGGTCTAAGTAATTAACAAATTTACGTGTATTTAACTAACTAAATATCGGTGTTAGAATTGTTAAGGAACTCTGATAGGATCTGAGAGAGGACGCTGCGCAAGCATCGGGGGAGTGTATTAGGATCTGCCCTACCAATTGTTCCCCCAGAAGAAAGCTACCAATCCTGTAATTCGATTCTGT